AAAACAGAAGAACTATCACAAAGTCCAAAAACATTAGTCATTCATTACTGTCAAACATACAATGACCAGTGCATGTAAATAAGAGAGATGAGCAGTTTTCCCTCTGATTTGCCCTTGGAATTTCAATCTAGAATACCAGCTGTTTAAGAAAACAGGTTGCATGCCAAAGTAGCTCAAGGCCCCCAGCTAAATGTGGAAGTCTGCTCCTCAAGCAGCTCTCAGCTGCAATCACCTCCCACTCTGAACCCAGCAGTGCAAAAAAATTTCCTTTCTTTTGCAAATAATTGTATTCACCGATGCATAGCCAGCTATCCAGGCACTATCAGAAGAAAGAGGAAAAAAAGGAAAAAAAAAGATGGAGGTGAACAGAAGGCAGAAGGATAGGAAAGTAGGGGATATTAACTCATCACCTTGTTTTTTTGTTTTTTCCTTTAGTTTCTTCAATTTGATTTCTTCAAGTGTTTTTATTCCGAAATTTAAATTGTCATCTGAAAACACAAAATGGTTAATGAAACTGAGGTTTAAAGGCATATGTTGAAGAGCACAGATCCTCAAGCTTCTTACAGCTCAGAACCTTTCCAAAGTATTTAAAATAAATCCTGTCAACGCTCCCCACGAGTAAAAAAAAAAAAGCCATAAAACGGATGGCATTTTGGTAAGGAATTGGCACCTTTCTTCACCGCTCCTCCCACCCTTCAGGGTAAAACCTAGTTTTAAGCATTTTAATCCATCTACATGATATTAGATTCCTCTACTATTAGACATAGCTTTCCACAATGTTCGAAAGGACACATTTGCAGGCATTTAAACTCCATTCTGTGGCTCTATTTTGTTCTACAAAAGTAAATAAGGAGTTTACCTATCTGACCCAAGGGACACATGACAGTATTAGATAGGAATGAGCTCATGGAAATAACTGACTCCGTCCAGGCTACCCTATGCTCTACTGTATTTTTAGAACATATTGCTTTTGAGTTAATTGTCAAATTCTCCTTCCAATCCATCCTATTACAGCTGTTAGAATACCTTGTTTTGTATTAGCGTTGGCTTTCCTAGTGGAAATTATCCGCAATCCATTATGGGCTTCTGTAGTTGGTTGCTGGACAGGTGTTTTAGTTTCATCTCCTTCTTCAGAAAGCTGGTCTGAAAGGCAAAACCAAACCTCTTCAGTCATGCAATAAGGATTAGACAAGGTTTTTCATGTTTATGTAGCTCACACAATGACATTTCAGTCCATGTTTCATATCGTGTCTGTATTCTTAACTACAAACACAAACAAATGTTTACAGAAGGATTTTTTTAAACAGCTATATTGACTTGATGAAGTCATAAGTAAAAGAGCTATACTGGGGAAAAAATGATTTAGGACTCCAGACTCTCGACTGCAGCTTTAACTGCTACACAATTCAGGTATTCTGTGATTTATACTGTCACTTACAGTAGAAATGCCTTCAAGAAGTAAAAAATGCTCACCATCATCGTCTTCATCATCATCTGCAGCATTGATTACAACTGGAGGATGAGTAGGACTTGGGACGTTTTCAGAGTTTTCCACTTTCATCACCCCCCTCAGCTGTGGAGAGGGATTTGACTGGACAGAAAGTTTGTTTTGCTGCAGTGACATCTGAGCCATTTTCACATCGTCTTCTGCAGACTCAGGTGGACTTGGAAGCGTAGCTAGAGGAAGAGGAGGATCATCTGTAATTTGGCTATTTAAAACTTCAACCCCAATGTTGCACTCACTGCGTAGATATGGTAGATAAGGTAGATAACCCACCTGGCTACTGAATTTAGTCTCCTGTTCCCCACCCCTGGTTATACTATGAACAACGGCTTCCCTTCACACACAAATCTCACTATACTACCAGCTAGAAAGGATTAAATGAGGGGAAAGCAACCTGAAAGGCCACAATCACACAAAGCACAGAGAAGCTGAGCATGAAAGAAAAAACTAAATACCAGAATTACATTCCGTTTAGCTGAGAGCCTATGACTGCAGACTTCTCCCTGCACTCATAAATGAACAGTTACTTGATGTCTTCTACGGTATTGTACCCACTCATAAGCAATATTCAAAATTATTTAATACCTAAAGAAAAAGGACCTAAGAAACTCACTTTTGCTTGGTGGTAAGAAAAGTCCATCGACATAACGTCCTTTTGTGTGATGAAAAGCACAGTTGGATTTTTGACAGCCTACTGGCTGATTCTCCCAGTAGCAAGGAATCTCACTGCGTTTTTTCTGAAGACAGAAAGAAATAAAAGCTCATGGTAACACTCGCCTTGGATTTGCAAAGAGACATAGTTTCACATCGTGCCAGAGATAGGACTATTGCAGTGAAGTGCTGAAACATCATTCCAAAGGTCAATTTATCACTAAAAGTATTTCAGGGCATACACACAAAGTTTGCGTAAGCTGTAACAAGTACATATTATCTAGCTTTCCTATCATGCAGTTTGAGAAGACAGGCACACTCACACATCAGTTCAGGGCGGGTTAAGCTAATACAACTTGGGATTATTCAGAGGGAAAAACGTTTTAAATTGCCTAGGTTAAATTTATCTGAACTTAGCTTTCAGAGCCTTAGTTCCTTCCCATCTTTTCTCTCCCCACCCTGTGCTATCCCAAGAGGTTAGGACAACATTATCCGAAGAAATCCAGGACAGAAGAGACCCGATAGGCCGTTATCAAGCCTAGCCCTCAGGAGGCCAGTGCAGGCTGGCTACTACCACCCTGCTCCAGCACATTTAAGCAGTCTGATCAACATGGTTGCTTTTGCCTCTTAAGAAAATAATGTCAGCACCTAATACAAAAATTTCTTGCTGAGATATACCCAAGACATTGATTTTTTTTCCTCTCCCAACTTCCTCCTATCCCCCTCCCAGTAATAGAAACCAGTATCATTTTATAGCAAGTAAATCTATCATGTAAAAGCACATTCAGTCCACCTACAGCAGTGAAAAATGCTTTCAGTGATTTAGTTTGAGAACACATCTTTAGGCAAACACTCACATCGATTTCCATGTGTCTGAATCTGCAGATATTCCTGAAGCAGCGACCCTCCTGCCAGAGCGTGCAGACTGTTTCATTCCCTAGAGCAGCTTCACAGTGGCGGAAGGAACAGCTGTCTCCCTGTAACCAAAAGGAAATCAACAAAAAGGAAAATGAAATAGCACAGCTTAAAAAAATGTCCATACTATTAGAACTGGAAGCAGAAATCTAACTGCTTATTAAGTTACCAGAAATCTGTATGTCTCCTCCTACTCTTCCTTCTGCTCTCTTAAAAATGAAAAAGAAAAAAAAAAACCCAAACCCCAAAGCAAAAGTAACCCAAACATACCTTGTTACATGTGGAATAGAAATAGAAGTAGCAGTCATCTCCTTGGTTAGACATAATGGACAAATTCTTAGGACAAGCTCAGGTTCTAAGGGTTGACTCAACAATGACTTCCTCCACTCTTGGCAAGAGCCGGCTTCACTCTGTCTTGGACTGAAAGTCTTCTACTGGCTTGATCAGCGAAATCTTCTTTTTAAAAGTAACCCTAAAGAAAGGTGTAAGTGAAAAATTATTAAGTAATAAGCATTTTTACAGCCGCTTTCTGTTAATCAAATTAGTATCCTGAGGGGGGCAATGTCTTGAAATCAGCTGGTCACAAAAACTATCCCGATACTAAGTCAGACTTCTGCAAAACTGCATGGGTTTTGTCAGCAAGCGTTCTCTTCTGTGTCCTTAGTAACAGTTATACGCCTTGGAGCACAGAAAAAACTACTGCGTGTGGCTGCAAGCCCCACAAGAGAGTCACTTCTTAAAAAATCGGTCATACATTTGAGTTATCAGTCGATGGTTAACTGTGGGTACTACTAATTTCTATAAAATACGCTGACATATGAAACATTATTTTCCAATCACCGTGGATCTTCAAGTTCACATACCTGGACAACTTCAGCAAATATATTGATCTTCAAAGACTTCCAGTTAACTTCTCCTGTAGGCCGAACCAACACTGAATCCGTGAATTAATAATAAAGGGGTAGAAAGAATTTTCCTCCTCACATTGCCAAGGGAACCTCTCATCCACAATTCAAACATAGGATGTGCTTTTAAACATCTTACAACTAATGGAGGAAGCAAGTCCATTTGAATACTGTCAGACTGGAGACAGCCAGGGTTAGTTAGCTCTTCAAAAAAACAAAAAAACAAAAAAAAAAAAAACAACAAAAAAACCCCAGTGCATTTAAAGATGAACTTGTGATTCAAAGTGGCTGCAAAAATGAGGATCCATCTTCCACAGCCGGACAATTTTTTTTTTTTTTTTTTTTTAATTTAAAATTCAGTAAGTTGCAATTTCTGGTCTTCAAGATTTCTTCACCTATTAAGAAAACACAAAAACCTTCCCCCATCTTTATTACCTGCACAGCAAAAACATACTTGTGCATATAAATACACAAATATGTATATACATACACATATGTGTTTATACACACACCAAGAGTGAGTGATAATAAAGTCAGCAAGTGTGATAGTAAAAATTAGAATTTTGGGCTATTTGCCACGTAAGACTGCATAAAAAGTCTCTCATTTTGAGGGAACTGGCAAAAAATGAAAGATCTACATAATATTTTGCTGAATATGCCTTCAAGGCTGATGCTTTATAACATGAGTGATTTGGGGGCCAGCACACAAATATGCATACGTATGTACATGCATACAGTATAAACATATCTATACACACAAGCGTGCACAGTATATGTTGTATGATATCCGTATCGAGGACAACTTTTAGCCCTGATCAGACACGTAGAGTTGCAATCAATTAACAGCAGGAAGACAGCAGATCAAGGATACAGCAAGCTTTGAGAGGCAGGGAGATGCTCACTTTGCAAGTGGCATGGCTGCATGATACCAAGAATTTTGAATTATTTTGATTTTAGGAAATAATTTGCTTTCTTTTTACATCAGAGCAAATACTACAAGTTTGCCATCACATGCTGTTCCCTAGTCCAAATATCCATCATCATCCATTGCTGAAAGATCACGGAAGGTTTGAAAAGATGGCTTAGGTCCAATTCAACAGCTGATCATTTTTTGGTGCCACCAGAGCTGAAACTGATTTTATTTAGCCACAAGCAGGTTTGGTTTTTTTGATGTGAACTCAGATACTTCGATTCTTAATTTTTTAAAGATACTAAATGCCATAAAACCTGCAACCAGACCAGATAAAGTTCAAATTAAAGTGATTCTGACCCCTTTCATTAAAATGCTGCACATTTCTGTGCAAAGTATTTCTGACTCGTTTGGACAAAACTGAATGAAATAGTTCTTACAAATTAATAATAAAAGGTTGGAACCTTTTACTCACACAAACACTAGTGAATTTTCCAGGATATTTTTTTTTGGCAGGGAATTTTCCCAAATCTAAAATAAAGAGAGGAAAAGTTGGGTTCTCATATTAGTTATTATTTTCTTGACTGCTTGACAAAGGGAATAAAAACAGTAGTTAAGTGCAAGGTTTTCTTCCCTTCTTCAGTATCGATGTGACTATTCACTTTTGACCTTTAGCACCTTCAAAACCAGACTTTGTGTCATACAGATCCCTATCCATCTACTTCTAAAAATTCCTGGTGCTCCTCCACGTAGAAGTTTGACGTGTTACCAATACCATTGATAGTTAAATTAAATTTCAAGCACGATCCCTTCAGTTTGCACAAGCTTAAATAGATGGCAATTAAGGAGCACTGCTTTGCTGAGCAGAGGCATTCAAATACAAATCAGAAGGAATACACGGTCTAGAAGGCAGCACTTCTCTTCCCTAGGAAGTGAGAGACACCTGTATAATGCAACATTACTATATCCACCACCATGGGGGAAAAAAAGAAATCCCCTCAGATTTAGCTCTTTTGAATGTCCAAGCAGCTCAGCATTTCGCTTGTGGCCTTCCATATTCCTGAGCAGACTTCAAGAGCTGTTCAGAATTTGAATGGATCTTGTTTAAGGAACGGTAAAAAAAGCAAAACTTTAAAACAAAAACAAACAAAAAAAAACCCCCAAACCCTCATAGTTCTAAACTCCATAAAAGTCCTTTCATTTTCAAAAAGGTTAACTCAAAACTTTTTTTTTTTTTAAACTGGTATCAGTTAACATGGCAATCTGAGTGCTAAACAGAAATCAACCCAACTAACCCCTGAAAGTCTGAATAAAAATGAGTAACTCTGGTGCACTCAGCAGGTCTCTGATGGAAGCTGATAAGAATTTTAAATGCTTCTTTTTTCTCCAGAACTCTAGTAAAGTTTTTGTTTTAAGAGATTTTTGAACTCATTTTGTAAAAACAAAAATAAACAATTACAGATGAAGTAGCTAGGGGTCAGGAAAAACATGCCAACAAATGCCACAAACTTTACCTTTGCTAAGGGAAGATAAATAGTACAATGAAAGTCTGTCTAGTTTGTTTTACAAGCTTGTCTTTCTTGGTACTGAAGAAACAGTCCTATTCCCTGGTTTAACTTTCCAGCTCGCTGACCTGCCTTTGTCCTGTACCGAAGAGCAAGAAGGGAACAGAAGTTTTTTGCACCCCAACAAATGCATGAGAGAAATATTATTGCACCTACCTATGGGTACTTTTTGGTTACAAAGCACAAAGTATTTCACTTGGACAGTCTCTCTCGCTGGTCTTTGTGCCTTTAATTTCTTACAAAAATACTAAAGATGCTTAACACCCCTGCTTATTAGGACAGCAAGATGACAAGGAAGGAAGAGCACCAGGCACTCCAATGTTCTAACCCCCATCTTCAATCGGTCAGCGTTACCCCAGCTGCAAAACAGCTGCTGCTGGTTTACCTGCTTGTTACCTCATTCCACAGGCTGAAAGTGCAGCACGCGCTAGATGTCACAAATTACATATAGAACTGTGCATTATGATGCATACGTAAACCACACATCATCACGTCGTCTGAAGCCACAGGAGAACCTCTTGCTAACACATCTCATTCTCTGTATCAAAATCTAAAGCTAAGTTGTCCAAAGCTGAAGCAGAATAGTCACAATTTCTAGTCTTTACATTTGTTTTAGTCAATTCTAGCTGTCAGATTCTGCCTAAACCTAGACTGGGGACATGTTGTGAGCCTGGGAGTTACAGCACTCAAGACCCACTCAGAGCAAAGACTGCAAGGTTGCCAGCCAAGAAGGCAAAGGTTAAAGCAGATGATCATCTCCGCTTCCTCTGCCATTGAGTCAAGGTCACCTTGCATCGTGATCTCCGAGAGCCAGAGCCGTGAGTTACCACAGCCGTGAGGCAGAGCTGCCCCTTGCCGGCTGGAGCAACTCTATTTGAAGATGTGCCACTTCAGGGACCTGAATTAGGACATTCTTCCTTAAGATGAGAGGCAAATCAATCCGCTCCTGAAAGGGCTGATTGGCCTGGTGTTTCTGTAACTGTCAAAGAATAACCTCGTACTGAAGCACTCATCAGATCAGACGCTGCTTCAGTACAGACTTGTCTTTAGCTTGACACATCAAGACTCAGGAGTGCTTCAAAGCAACCTTTAAAGCAGGGATCTAGTAAAGCGGCCAAGGCGAAAAGTGTTCAGATCCGAGCACACCACTCTGTAGAAAATCAGTTTCGAGCCTAAGATATTTCACGCATCTCGCAGTCCAAAAGGGACAGTGACACCTTTGATCTGAAAGTCTTTCCACATGCTCTGCAAAGCCACAAGGACGTGACTGATGGCAGCACTTGACTAAGAACTGTAGTTCCCCACTGGCCTCCACCTCCAGGCCAAGAATCTTGCACCCATCAGACATCTGGGACGACTGGAATGACCTGAGAATAGTCCCATTCTCCCTCGCAGGAGGATGCTGCTCCACTTTCTGCTGGTTTGAAGTCACTTTAACATATAAAAGGTAGAAAGAGATTCACTGAGCAGCTATTTCCTGCGTCAAGTGATCTGTGGAAAATGGTTTGAATACTGGAATTCCTGAAGAATTTGATGGGTCTCAGCAGAATGAGCAAGCAAATCTATTAAGCACCCGCTAACCTGTTCTCAGTGCTCCCGCGCTCAAAGTCCTGATTCATTAATTTTAAAATATACGTAACATTGCAGCTGGCACCTAGCACTGCGCACACAGCCTCGGCAGTGCTGTCGGAAGCTGGAAAGCCAGGGGTGAGGGGATTAAGGGAAAGCCACACGTCAATTTGGTAACTTGGTTCTTGTAGGACGCTTCCTACTGCAGAAGTTTTAGCAAAGCCAGTGGGAGGGAGCTGCCTGTTTTCTAAAAGGGGACTTCTGCTGGTGCAGTGTATCAAAAGATATCCTCGGGCCATCACTGTCAAGTAGTCCACGGTTCATTCAGGGTCTACGTATCAATAGTTAAATGTGCATTTTTGTGTTGTGCTTTCTCCAAAGGTTATGAAAAACTTTTCTTTTACAATGCTCTATAGTCACGTTATAGATGGGAACTGACTGTCTAGTGCTCCAATCTGTATGAACTTCTAATAAGCTGGCATAAGTGTCTTCAGTAATCAATTTTATAATACCTCTGTTTATCTGTTATTTAAGTGCATTTTCATATCTGAACTTCTTCACAGCAGTACGTACTTGAGAGTCTGAGTCCCATGGTTAAGATTTATGTCCTTTCTCCTACCAAGCACCTGCTCAGTAGGCAAAGATGGAATAGGAACACCCAAGCCTGGAAATGTTAAACCACAACTGGCTCTGAGCCTATCCGTTGAAAAGAAATAGCTCCATACATCACCTTCATGGGGCAAAAATTCATGTGGAACAGTAGAAAAATCCAGAAGTGCTTCCCGAGTTTCAGGTTACCAACAGCACCATCAGATTTAGGTCCTGCCCCAGTGTGCAGGACGCGTCATCTGCAAGTGTTGCTGCAACATGGAAGTGCCAAGGCGAGTCCCTGCCCTGCCCAACACACTTTTTAAACGTTGCAAGGAGTGTGCCAGGTATACCGAGGGTCAACTGAGAAGTTCCAGACAACAGATGCGTTTGTCTCCTTTCTGGCATCAAAAGGCTTTTGACAGTATCGCTTCCGTGAAGAAAACTCCTATCTTCTCCAGATGCTCCAGGATCCACTACTGCTGCAGCTGCAACGGCTACACTGGTACGACCCACATCTATGGCAAATCTCTTTGACAGCTCTTGTTTACAGGGGCACATCTGCAGTCCACTCCTCCTCTTCCAGCTGAAAAACCAGCCCGCTGGCTCTGCCACGCTGTCACTGCTGACACAAGAGCTGAGAACACACGTCGAACTCCCACTGTTAAAACTTCTGTCTGGGGAGATGGTTGACAGACACGTTACAGGCATATTCACCCTCCCTACAGCGCTTACAGCTGAGACACCTGGCTGTTAGCCGCGGCCCAATGCACACAACGCTCTGCTTGGAGACGTCACCGAAGAGTCAGTGTCCCCAGATGAGTACCTGGCTTGCCACAGTTGATTTTTTTTTTTTTAAAAAAACGTATGCTGGATATGGCACACCAGGTGAACCACAGATCCAAAGTTCCACATAATGGAAGTCTTTGCTCTTCTTCCAGGCAACAGTGCATGCTTTAACATACTGCGTTCAATGAAGAAGCTCCCTCCATCTTGCTCAGTGGCAACAGGCATGACTGCAGCACACTCAGGTGTAGCAGTATCTGCAGGTCCCAGATCCTTAACAAATTTTTAGATAGCACCAATTTTCTATGTAGTGGCTTTCCCTTAATGCATAACCCCTTCTTTCCTACATTTTTAGTGGGTGGCTCTTCTCTATCGTTCTGTCCACCAGCTTTTCCTCCTTGATGTCCGAATGGGCATCGAGAATCAATTCCAAACTAAGGGGACTGCTAAAGCTGCTACATCTACTCTTGGGTGAGACAGGCATACTTAAAGAAAAGAAAAGGCACTCATTCTTTTTCTATTTCTAAAATCAACACCGGGGCCTGGCAGCAATTTACTACGGCAATTCATCTTCCTCGCTGAAATATTTTATTGAATCTCAAAAAGAGTCAATTTCCCCTGGAAGCAGCCATTTGGAAGGGTGCCATTTTAGATGAGAAGCAACAGCAAGAGGAAGTTTTCTCTAGACTAGCTTTTCTCCCGAAACACCTGGCCATCCAGCAACAAATTCAGCCTATCTGTTCAGCCTGACCAGCTTAACGCGTGTCCAATTCAACCACGTGCCACAGCGGTGGTTCTGATATCATTTCAAAATCCCCTATCCCCGGGAGATCTCCTTTTTTACAATCAAATAACACAGTGTTTGATTTTGAACGTATGGCCCAGAGCTCAATCTCCGAGTGCAGCGTGCACCCCAGAGCACCAGTTCTGGGAACAATCTGTAGGCTCCACACATGGATCCCTGCAACAGTAAAAATCACTTTTGCACTTTCATTATAAACATCAATGTAAGAAACCAGAAGCCTCTGAGAGCCAATTCTTAAGAGCAAAACCAAACGTCACCCAATAGGGTTGTTTTAAACAACCTAAAGGAGAAATTAAGATGACAACCGGGTGCATCCAGAGTTAGTCAGATCCTGAAGGCAGTTCCTTTGGGGAACGGAGGAGCAATTTGTCAGATGACTACACTACAGCACGCCCCTTATACGCATTGCTACAAAAGGAAGGCACAAGGTTTTAACTGAAAATAACGTACGCTTATAAGGCACCTGCACTGGGATCTTCAGTTTGCCCAACCGAACCTC